TGTGGGGATACCACAAGTGGTAAAAAGGATAAGTGATAAAGAAGGGATCAAGTGTAGGGATACCACATAGGATCAGTAAGGAGTGAGTTGAGGAATGAATTGAAAGATGAATTGAATTGAGTTGCAAGCATGAGTGAGAACTGTAACGACACAGGTAAGAGAGGACTCCAATATGGGTTCAAATCCGCTACGAGGTGTATGGGAGCACTGGGATAGATAGAACTAGGAGTAACCCTCTATTCCTATAGGTCTTGTACAAAAGGATACTCAAAAACTATCTACCATAACTATGTACACTGCCCTGCTTATATACCTAACCGTTCGATGTAGCTTGGGGGATACCGGTACATAGTAGGGTAGGGATCAGATAGGAGTCAAATAGCAATTGTGTGAGTAGTATGAGGAAGAACGGTTGGTACGGTTCTTACAAGAACTATCTAGAGGTGGGAAGAAGGGGGTTCATATACCTAGATGGGTGGCAAGCTGACAAATGGGAGCTGACACAAGTATAAAGACTGGTAGGGTTGTTGTTGGCTGCAAGCCATGTCAGGATGACATACATCCACCATCTTTCAGAAAGTCTACTGAACGTGAGCTGAAGAAGACTCAGAAGCTACTCAAGGATAAATGCAATGAGCAGACTTGTGTGCAGCGTGCAAGGGAGAAAGAGGAGCAGGAGAAGAAGCGCATCCAAGAGCGCAAGGAGATCAATCAACGCAAGGCAGAAAGAGAGCGCAAGAAACACAAGCGCAACTCTCAAAAAGCATCACAGACTACTCAAAAAGGTAAGCACAAGGCATCACAGAAAGTAGCACCAAGAAAGAAGCAAAATTGTGGCTCTGCAGCTGTGCGGAGTGGTAGTTTTGCTCATGAGCAGCCCTCAGCACCTGCACCAATACTCAACAGCCGCAGCTGCAAAATACTTCAGCCACGCAAGTTTTGGTAGCAAATTTTGTTGTATAGGTCTATAGATCACTCCACCAAATAATCTAGTTGCAATAGCCTTTGTGTGTGGCTGTAGAGCCTCATTTTTCTATGGGTGGTGTAAGTGTTGATGGTGCGCGTTGCGGCGCATGCGCATTGCGAGCACGGACACGGTAGTGCACTATTCGAGGAGCTGGAGTGTTGTCACCTAAGCCACCACCAATCCAACTGTGGCCGTGTCAGCGGTCCCCAGCGCAACATAGCGCCGCCAATCCAGCAAGCCTTCAGCATCTGGCTCATACCTTTTTTTGCCAGTTGGCTTTTTGAGCCAGCAAGCTCTGCATCGCCTTCAGAAGGTATGGTGAGCGCCCTGTCAGCGCGCCTTCAGCATCATACTCCTGTCCTGCCAGACCTCAATTGCATCAACATCCTAAGCCTACAAGCTCAGCCCCTGGCCCCTGGCAGGACTGGCGGACATGGCGCCAGCACATTGCAAGCATCACGCTTCTCCCTTCCTCCCAGCTCCCTCATTCACAGTCACTGAGGTCTGACAGCCTGGATCTCAATTACATTGACATCCTGCCCTCCGAGCTCCAGGCCTTGAGGACCTTGTTCTTATGGAAAAGGCTACGCTCTGCGCAGCCTGGGCAAGTTTTCATCTTTGAACTTTCTCTTCCTCTTCCTCGATCGCACCGACATCCTGAACAGCATCCTCCCCAGCTTTGCTCTGAGGTAAAGTTCATAAGCTCTGTACCCGGCAGTGCCAGCGCCCTCACCCCCTCACCCAAGCGCTTCTTCCTTAAACGTTGGCACTACCAACCCTCGCCGCTGTTTCTACTGCTTTACTGATTCCTCTATCTCTTGCACATTTCACAACAGTTGCACCTTGAGGTTTTATAGCTGTAGCACCCAAAACATCGATGCTATTGAGCTTCACTGACGTTTTTGTAGCTCCCAGCTCTACTAATATATTCATCAGGTCCGTTGAAGTGACCGAGTTTGTAGCCCAATTGCTCAGTGATGTCCAGAGTGCTAGCCCTTCCTCTTGTACACGCATCGCGACATGATCTGGTGAGTGCGTCCTCACTGCTGCGACCCCATTCCAGGCAAGAGGAAGGTCAGTCTTGAGATCTGATCACTGCGGCCTCTTTCTTTCCGACCTTTGCTTGCACAGCCTCACAACATCCTCTTCTGTTCTGATATATTGTGCGTGTATGTTCCCAGAAACAGCATTTTGTCTTCTTGCTAACATACTCGGTCCCTTCAAGTTCCTTGCCTCACATGCTGCATCTCTCAGGACTATTTCCCCATGCTGAACCCTAGCAGAGCTGTAATGGTCAGTATCTTCGATATTTCTAAGTGTGAAAGCCACCCTTTTTTGACTTCAGGGTGCATTTCGGCTTCTATGGGAGGCACACTTCAGGTGTAGAAAGTGCAACAACAGATTGCACTACTAGACCCCAAAGAGCTGGCCTACGCGGCTTGGGAAGAATAGTACAAAGTCCTAAGTTTTCAAACCCAGGACCCCTGCATTTTTGACTTTTTGCAACTGCAATGATACTTGCCCTACGTCTGGCCCTGGTGATGGGTAACATGGAAGAAAAGCTCCCAAGCTTGACAGTTGCAGGCATCATTTCAGTAGCTGTCTCAAAGTTGATGGGACTGACATTGCGTTTCAACAGCGTCGGCATTACCAACGTTTTGGTGAAGGTTCTCTTTGTGAGGGCTCGGCTCGGTCCCACCTGAGCTACACCGACCAAAAAGGTACAGTAACCCAATAGAGATGGGATCCGGGAACCGAACAGTATATACCTGTGACACTCTTCGACCGCAGAGCCGCCATGAATTCCACTGTCCTTGTCCTATGGAATGCTATCTGTTCGGCTCTCCCATAACTGTGCCATCTCTGGTAATGTAATTCCAGCAATACGTTCTTAATTCTTGGCTCTATCGATATCCTTTCACTCTAAGCTAGTCTTGACACGGCGCCTGCACTGCATGCTGGCAGAGGATCTGGGGCTTCCATGCTCGGGAGTTTTCTCGTTAGTTTCAACGTTCAGACATCGTTTCAGCATTTCTTTCAAAGTCTAGTAGGTATTGCTTGTCGGCCATCTGCCATTGATTTTGTTGTGGAGTACGTCCAGAAGGAGAAGCAGAAGGGCAAGGCTAGCAAGCTCTTTAACTCCTCCTTCCCAGACTGGGCCGATTTTTCCAGCAAGGTCGTCGCAGTCAAGGTTGAAGACTATGAATCAAAGGAGCAAGGGCTGATCGACAGTCAATCCTAGGTTTTACAGGCTTAATGTCAGGCGCAAGGACGCAGACACGTCTTGCAGGCGCAACGGCAGTAGAACAAATTAAGAAGAGGCTCTGCTGTTCATAAAAGATAGTTTTGTATAGAGCAGCTTACGCTTCAGCGCTCTAACTCTCAGCATAGGTCGGTAGAATTGACATTTAGGGTGTTTTCTCTTCAAACACTGCCTACTTGAGCACACGCAATGTACGACGCTGGTCTTGCAGCTCGATGATTTCGAGGTTTTCCACGTTGGAGTCTACCGCACCGACCAATCAACTATGAATGTCGATTACGCGCTAGCTGGGGCTAAGCGCGCGACGCGAGGGCTGAGGGGTAACGCTAGTCCAGGGTGGAGTCTTACCCTCAGGAGATGAACACGGCTTACATATAACAAGAGAGTTGGTGCGCCTTGCCCTAGCAACGTTCCGACGCTAGCGAACCACAAGAAGTGAACGTAGGGTGTACCATTAGATGTGGCGGAGTGTGCCGCTGTAGAACACTGATAGCTACGGCAAACGATAACGTAGGACTATCGAGTCGATGGAATACTGCGCAGAATTGCTATCTAGCTAGGAGGAGACGATATATACTGTCCCTAGAACGTGCTAGTCCACAACAGTCCAACCAGGGGTAATTGTGTTGCAGTAAATGCAATAAGTGAAGGGGTAACCGCGCAGGGCAGTAAAATCAGTATATTCTGTTGTGTTGTTGTTTAGTGTTCTGTCTCTCTCACCGGGCCATCAGGGTCTGTTTACATGACGTATCTGTCGTTCAGACAGAAAGTGCTATTGGAACAGGCAAGAGCACTGCACCAGCACACGTGGCAGACATGACCGCTTTACCCCATAAACCGTCACAAATTGGGTCTTGTACGGACCGCTTGATACCGTAACATTAGATACCCTAGCTCCACTTGCTTAGACGAAAATTGTCCCGTAGAGGCTGTCTGCTTTTGAAAATTGTTTTCGGATCCACTCCAGGCCACAACCAGAACAGACGGTTGTCATACTCACACGACAATGTGAGCACACAGGCAAGGACCATTGCAATTGCAAGCGAGAGCCGGTCACTCCAACTGCCGTTCGTGATCCACCAGTCAAATCAGATCGTGGGCATGGCTTTAAGGAGAACATGAAAAGCTTCAGTGAATTGGGACAGAACATAGTAGCTGGAACAAACATAGAATAACTGCAACGTGCTTCTCACAGCTTTTGTGACTGCATCAGCCTGCAGCTACTTCCGCCCCCAATCACTCCGTCCTAGCGACAGGCGCCCGCTGGCACAGCTGTGTGGGCGTAGGAGACAAGCATCCTGCGCTATGTCACAGCTGCTGCGCCCATGACAGGACTGACTGCTCCTGTTATGCCTCACGCACTCGCGTCCTGCTGCTCCTACGTCCTCATGCGCTCAGACGCAACAAATGCAGCCCAACCTGCTCCGCCCCAGCCCAGGCGCGCACGTCGACCTGTCTACCCCGCCCATCACCCGCACACCAACGCGCTAAACCTCTAGGTCCAATCCATACTGCAGTCACAGGGAAACTTAGACTAGGTTCGTTTCCTAGCGAAGCTCCTTCTTCACCACGACTGCCAGGTCCTTATTCCACCACATTGCGCTCCTCAATCATCCCGACTAGTCAGAGGTTGCGACGCGTAGCCTGCAGAAGGTCTGGCAAGCGCTGTCAAGTATGCAGTCGGCTTAACGAATTCTCGATGTCGCCTATTGCAGACTTTGTCGGCTGTCGATCAACATTGACCATTTCAAATGCTTCTCGGTAGTTAGATTGTGGCTGCGATGGTTGATCGGGGAATGCATGAACTTCATCCGCTCCAGCCAAGTTGTGTTGCGATTTGGCTTGATGCAGCCACACGTTGACTCTTCATCCCTCTTCCCCAGCAATCAGCTCCAAAAACCACGGCCGCCAAACCGTCTCTGCCCAATTCAGCAGCCAATGCAGCAAGGCCACCACCTTAAGCGCATCGCACACATTCCTTGTACTCCCGATCATAACCTGCTCTCTGATCATCACCCTCTCGATTGTCTTTGTTACCACCAGCAAATGCCACTCATGCCCCTGCGAGATGAGCACCGGTAAGGTTGGCCAGTCTTTCGCCATCACTGCCGTCGGGGCTCGGCCGTCCTTCCACAGCAGCTCGCAGCGCCGCAGCCAGGCGTCTATCCAGATCCCAATCTGGGGCTTGCCGTCTGTCCAAGACTTCAAAGGGGACTTGGTCTCGATGTGTATTGCAAAGGGCAGGTCTCGGGCCGTGGTGGTAACGTGGTTCCAAGACTTGTTGGTGTTGGCTGCGAGGGGTCGTAGCGTCCGATATGCGTTGGAGATGGTAGAGTCAGGCTTGAGGCAGAAGACGTAATCGATGATGCGCCCAGGGAGGTTGTTTTTGCTTAGAGCTGGAGGGTCGATACGAGCGGATTGTCTGGTCATGATCAGTGTCGATCATCACTAACAGGTGCGGTGGGTTGAGGGCAAAGTTACACAGAATGAAGCGAGAGCACATTGGCGTGCCGACTAGTAGCAAGCGCAAGCTTGAGCAGTGGCTTCTGGACATCCGAATTCCACTCGTCTTCAGCGCCTCCTGCACCAGTGTTCAGTGCGATTGCATCATTGACGATGTTGGCAATACTGCGGATCGCAGGCGTTGATCCATAGAGCGCCTTGCTAGCGTCTTTCGCACATGGACGTTGTAGCCTCATCCTGTCCAGGTGAGGGAGTTCGGCAATTGACGCATTGAACACGTCTGCATTGTCGTACTCCAGTATACCGACACCTTCAGCAATCATTTGCGCTGCTGTGCGCATCGCCGCAACATCTGGCCACTCACTGTCTGCGTCGACGCTGTTGAAGTCGCAGAAGATGACCGGTTGTTCGAGATCTTTTAGCGCATGTATCTGCTTGACAGGGCTGAACCTCCCACTTTTGTGTGAAGTAACAGACGCAGTGGACTCACTCCTGGAGGACCGGGTTGGTGAGAAATGGAACGTGTCATCGAAGTCGCGACGGCGTTTGGCAGGACGAGGCGTCTCTTGGTCGTCACTGACAACGCCAACACCCGAGTCCATGTCTGCTGAGCGAGGCCGCTTAGTCGATCGCGGCGCGGATGAGTCGTGATAGCGGGGCGAGCTCTCCAGAGCGGTGGTGCTGCATCCGTATCAGCACGGCCATGATGATACGGCAGTTGATTACGCACTCGGTGGCCGGGGATGCAGAGACTGCATCCAGCCAGCGGTAAATGGCCGGCTCCAGCAACGATGCAGAGGGCATGGCAACACCAGACGGTGAGGTGTGGAAGCTGGTAGGGCAAACGTCTGGGTGGAGTGGTGAGCGATTGTGCTAAGCCGCTGAGCGTGTTGTCGCGCTCGCGGTTGGCCTGGCAACTGCTTCAGCGTCATCGCTTAAGTACCGTGTCCATGCGTGTGATGCGCATGTTCGCGTGATGCGCACCCCAACCACTCTCACAGTACACACCAAATGATGCTATAGAGCCACTCACAACAGCCACCATCACGAGATCTGTTGGTGGAGTATTCTATAGACCTATACGACAAATATTTGCTGTACAGACCTTTGTGGGAGAGTAGAAGTGCGGCCGCGCAACGTGGTTTGGATTTGGGCTGCCGGAACTGGCTCTGGGGCAGCCACACCACCACGGGCAGCCACACCGCCACGATTTTGCTTCTCTCTGGATCCTGCTTTCTGTGAGACCTTGCTCATGAAAACAGACCCTGATGGCCCGGTGAGAAAGACAGAACACTGAACAAGAACAGCATAATGTATACTGATTCTACTGCTTCGCGCGGTTACACTTTCATTTATTGCAACTACTGCAACAGATTCTCTGCTGGCATTGATCTTACTTGATTGCACGCCTACAATTTGGTGTGACAATCAATAAGCTGTTGGTGTTGTCATTAAGCAGCATGACAAGCTTCACACAAAGGTCAAACACGTTGATATCCACCAACTCTGGATACAACATGAGGTCACCGCATCACGTATCAATGTCCAATTGGTTCCTACTGATCGTATGCCTGCTTATAGACTCACAATGATACTACGAAAGCAGAAGTTCATAGAGTTCGTCCCTCAACTCGGCCTCATCGATATCACTGAGCGCCTGAATGGCCTGCGTCAGGCTGACGGCGACGACCTTGACGCTATCTACATACATTGAGTCGATACTGATCAGCTGTCATCGACTCTCCGCCTTTGAGTCTACGTCAGCTAAGGGGGTGTGTCACGGTTTGGGGTGCTCCTGCCTGTCGTACCTCATCTGCCATGAGAGTGACTGCCACGTCACACTAGCGTTGTTTACAGCTACTCACCTATACATACTATTCGTAGCTTCACCCAATACAGCCCCAGTCCAATCCTTCAATATTTCCGCACGTGGGTACTGATGTCTCACGATCTACCTCGACAATTTGCGACTTGGCAAACCACAGGGTGGTGATGGGGAATGATTTCATGGCAAGGAATACGTGTTGTATAATCTAGAATCGTCTCTCAAATTAAAACTATGATCGCTTTGCAGTCGTCCTAGTGACTTGTGCAACACACGAATTGACACAGACATGTGTTCCATCCAGTAAACCTTCTACAAGGGTAAGAAGGAACGAAAAAATCTCCCGACAAAACATGGGCGGGTTGCAAACGCGCTTTAGAATACCTCGATAGTAGTCCGTGCTTTCGGACTTCGATTGTGCGGTAACGTGTAGGAAAGCTAAAAAGCTCAAAGAGAATTCATATCCCTTCGCGACTCAAGAATATCAGCACCACTGTAAGGCCTTTGGTAGACGAATTCGAGATTTACAGGCTCGGTCTAAATTTCGCAATTGAGTATGCCATATCAAGAAGGAATCTGGGAATATGACATGCAGGTAAGGTGTTTTTGGTAATTGTTGGAAACATACGGTGAAGAGTAAGAACAGTGTCAAAAGTCGCCGATCCAATCATGCAATTTCTCGCGTATATATTCTGGAAACAGAATTGCCTCATAAATAAGCTGGGATACGTGTTGTGTTTTGGAACATGGTCGTATATTGCGCTTCTGTTGCGGTATCGGTTGGTCCGTACAGTGTCTGACTATACCCCTGATCGACCACCCTGGACTAGTGTGTTACAGGTCAGGTATATAGTCGTCTCCTCCTAGCTATATAGCAATACAGCGCAGTATTCCATTGACCGATAGTCCTACGTTATCATTTACCGTAGCTATCAGTATTCTACAGCGTTCCACACCGCTACAGCTTCTTTTCAAAAACAGTCGTCGAGCGGAACGGAAGGATGAAGACAAGATTGTAGAGGTATGTGTGCTCTTAATTGTATACAGTCTTCTGTGTGATTGACGTTTTACAAATTGGTAGTTACACTTGGAAAGAACATGCGCCCATTTTGTGTAAATTTTGAAGGTTTCGAGGAACATGTATCGACGATGGGCAATTTTCTGAAACTTGGCAAAGCCGCACATCCATCTAGTGTAAATTCAATATTGATGGAATTCTAAGCCATACGGCTGCCAGCCCAAGGCCTAAGCCTAAAATTGCTGTATGATGTCAGTGCTTCATTACTGTTTTAGTGGAACGTCTCAACTAACCACGGATCTCTCCTTCATGAACCATGACATTGAGGGGTCGGGCCTGCAAAGTTTTGACAGCTTCCAGGATCATCTGATGATATCTCAGGTTCATGTTTACACTCACGGGAACAATTGCAGTACCAAGCGTCTTGTGCAGATGCAGCAGGTCCGCATCTGCTCTCACAGCAAGAGCGGCAAACCCACCGATCCTGTGCGATATCAGCAGGTCTATGACCACAGATGGCACAATAACAGTCTCGACCCGGTCTGGAGTGATTACAGGTCTCGAGATATTGGCAATCATCTTGCGCCAAATTGTGCCGGTGTTTATGACCAGAGGAAGTCTGCGGTCTATTTACGACGGTTTGCGCGCAGTAGGACATGATCCGATCGAAGGGGCCTTCGTGAATTGCGTCATGCTCGTCGAGAGCGTCTGGGAAGTATATCAGATCGTACTGTTGCCGCGACTCGTGTGTGGCCTGCAGTTTAGCCAGATTGGCGGCGGTGAGCTCGTTGGATGGCTGGCAACGTTGTTTGAGAACAACCTCCTCATCACGACCAGCTAAAATGTGATCCCGGCGCTTGTCTTTACGAGTGAAGCTCGATACCACGGGTCCGTTCAGTTTCCAGCCTAAGGGCCCCCCCACGAAAAAAAGATCCTGCCGACGTGGGAATAGGTTTAGAATAAACTGACCTTTGATTCGTAAGTCGTTGTTGTTGTCGTGCCAGGAATCGATCGACTGGGGAGAAGTTGGGCTATGTCGGTCTGTTCCCGAAGGCATTGGCACTCGGTGTGACAGGACCACGTCAACGTTGTTGAGCTCGTAGTTCTGATCAAACTGGTGCTGTATCAGGGTATTGGGTCCCTTGCGTTGCTCCGGTCTCGGTACAGGATCAGAAGCAAGTTCAGGATGGTGCTTCCTGACATGTTTCAGGCGAGCGTCTTCGCGCTTGAAGACCTTCTTGCAACTGCGATCTAGGCACAACAGCACAACAGCGCCGTTATGCTTATACCTCTTATGCCTAGCGAGGTTGCGCACGCGATGATTTCCAGTATATTCACTACCACAAACCCGACATTGTATGGTGTCCGGTGCGGCGGGAGTCGAAGCCGTTGTGAAAGCTGCGTGATCGTACACGCTATTCCCAGGTGTCGGCTGGAGGAAGCTGGCGTTCTGAACAGGACTATCTTTTTCAGCAACCTGGGTCACAGCAAGGGAGAATTCTTTCTTACAGTAGGCTTTGATTGGCCATCCCAGGATTGAACACGGACCCATTAATACCGCCTGGAGGAGGCTCGATACGATAACTCAGATCGAGAATTATCTGGTCTAGGTCGCCATCATCGAACTCGGTCTCAGGATCCAGCGACACCTCTTGATTTGGACGCAGCGTCAAGCCGCTATCAGCCATGTCCTGCGTGTGTCGGCTGATGGACGACATCGTTGACATTCCTGGGGTATTGATGAACACGTAGCTGGATTCTAGTGTTCCGGCAGTATACGTTGATCGACTTGTGGTCGCGGACTCGATGTGGTTGCCCAGCAGGTTCACGTTCTGCTGACACTGCTGCCAGCCATGGGCATTGGAGCGTACGGCGACCATGGCTGGATGTTCCTGCCAACAGAATCGATCGGGTTCGACGCCAAAGTCTTCAAGTCAGGCGTGGCGGCATCGGTCTGTCCGGCGAAGTCATCCAAGTTCAGCGACATTTCCGATATCGTATCAGCCGTGTCAACAAAGTCCATGGACTCGTTGTTGCACCAGCCGTGGTGCTGCATGCTCTCTCTCCAGTCCTCGGCTAATTGTATACCGTCTTGACCCGGAGTCTCCATCGACTCAACATCATCCTGAGCGGTGTATTGCCAAACTAGATCGAGAGCAGTCTGTGTATGACTGGGCTGCACGAAGAAGCTGTCTTGGTGTCCGATACCATCGATGGGTTGGCTTCCTCTAATAGGCGCAGGGATTACTTCAAGGCTGAGAAAGGGCGTTGCCGACGTCTTTCTGGTCGTGTTCCGCAAATCGAGCTCGTTGCTCTGCTTGTTGCATCTAGGTCCCGAGCCAGAGGAGTCATTCACGAGACGGGATCCCGACCGCAACGAGGTTGGTAAGTAAGAGACTCTACTAGATACCTTATGGTTCTCACCCTGGAACCACGTTCCATTTGTCGTGCGATCGCGTGCAGCGGAGGGGCTTACGACTAGTGCCTCGATCGTCGAAATAGCGTACATTGGTATTGTCACACGAGGCTGAGCAAGTGTGATACTGCTGTCAGGGGCATCTGGGAAGGAGGAGTTGTCGAGGTCGGCGGTCGTCAATTTGCGTTCCAGTTCAAAAGTTTTCTTTGGAGGTACGGGTCTGCCAACGTCGAATGGATTGCGTTGAGATGTAGGTATCGGTAATGAGTATTCAGAGGCCAACAACGACACAATCATACCTCTGCGCTGCTCGATACCACCTTCAGTAAAAGAATGTGACGGGCATGCAGTGTATGGGCTAGTCTGGGCAGCATCTGTCAAGCTTCGCTTTCCGGGATTTGCTGAGAAGTCAACGATCTACGATAATTAGCGCAAAATCTTCGATTGGACTGCACCTGGCTTACATTGTTATGCAGCGTTTGAAGTTTGAACGTGTTGCAGTCCCACGGGGATTGTTGCGCACGTGATCGGATTGCACGCGCACTCGGGCCTGTTGTGATTGTACTGACGGACCCTGGCGATTCGACAGAGCAGTCAGCAGTACTGCCAGTGCTGGATGGTCCTAATTCATATGTCTGTATAGCCTTGTATAGATCTGGCATGACATGATATGCAGCCATCACATAGGCAAAGCCAGTCGTTCGACAGCCGGCCACAATATGACCATAAAGCTCGCCGGTAATGGCATCAACAACGGCCGAGCCGCAGTCACCGTCTGCAAGGGGGCCGTCCAGCCTGACCGGGAAGACTCCATGGAATGAACTGCCTTGCGGTACGCACATGTCAGCTGGCGTACTGGACATGACGCCGGTCAATTCTCCACTGGACGCGGTGTGAGTCACTATGGCTGCACCCGCAGGATTGTAGCTTGCGATCGGCATCTTGCTTAAGTCCTCTGGGTTTATGTCAAAGAAAGCTGAGGTATATGAATCGCTATCGGTTGACACGTCCACAAGCGCCCAATCTTTGTCGGTAGACCATCGTGACAAGACACCAAAGGGTGCAAGGGAGTTCGAGGCTGGAGTACTCAGATCTTGGATAGGCACTTGAAGTTTGGTTCTTGCTTGTTGCAACGCTGCGCCATCCATAATACCGTAGTTGGTCGTATCTGCAATGTTTGTTAGTTCCGATGATCCGAAGCTTGATTGTGAGAATGCTTCATTTCCACTATCTTTGGCGGAGAAGGTGTCAGAATCTTCTGAGTAATCAGAACAAGACCATTTATCGGACTCTAGATCGTCAAGCTCGGTCTTAGGGTAATGAATAATGTCGTCATCCGCCAAGTTGGTCTCCAACTCATCGTCGCTGTCGATTTCAAAGTCGTCGACAGAGTCGTCGTACTTCAGTGTTGACTCGTCTTTCCTATCGAAGAAAGCGTGTGCAGGCGCGAGATAGGCTATCTTTCCATGTAGTCGTATGAGGTTTGCTGTCATTGTGCGAAGACCAGAAGGGTGCGAAATGTACAAAGTCATCCCTTGCGATCGAAGGGGCCGCGAAGGATCGTAAAGAACCTGGGTTGCTGGACCACTGCCACCACCTGTGTTGTTGATTCCATGGCCTGAGGCGAGCTGTTCCAATTGCGCACCCCAACCAGGATCTACTGGGGCTTGGGCAGTCTTCCAGCCGCGGCATTGCTTGAGAATGCCGCACTCTTTGATCAGCTTGCGAGCAGCTTTACGATTGCTCTCGTTCTCAGAGACGAATAGGACGGTAGGTGCAGCGGTGCTCGATCTTAGGCCGATCATGTACAGAGTAACTATGATGGAGTCTTGAGTCGACACAGATCCGAACAAACCGTCGAGGTGTTGCAAGATTTCGCGACGGATCTGAGTGTGAAATAGGTCTCGTAGAGGCTCTTTTGCTTCCCAACAACGGTGTCCGAACTTTCCGATCAGTCCTATGTAATTTCCAACCGTTTTCGACTTGAGTGGTATCGTGGGGCGGGTCACCTGGTCGACCGAAGACGCGACGGATGGAGTCGTCATGACCTATGCGCATAGATGTAGAAAGGGTGTCGAGGACGTTGCAGAATGACACTGACTCAACGTAGAACGAATTGAGATGACAACCGGAAGGGCGGTGGTGCGAAAGGGCGGCTGCCCGGAAAAACGAACCTGAAGACATAAAAATTGGCCTGTTGGAGTCCTCCAAGGGTCAGTGCTAGCTATGAAGGCGCAGCTACGAAGTGGACTGCAGTCACCAAGTATCGAGGGAGGCTTATCACGCTGTGGCTGTTGTCGCTCCAATAACAGCTGCAGGACCGAAACTCAAAACCGGAGCCTAACTCTGCCAGGACCAATGAGCTTGAGCTGACTGATTACACTTGCCAGGCCTCGCTTCCTCTTAGGATCGTACGAGGAGGCTGAGCCGAAACCCAGTGACCACAGCTACGCAATATCTTGCTTTTTAAATTCCAGTCCTTCGCTAGGTTGCACACGAGGCGCAATCTCGTAGGCCATAGCCACAAGCATCTACTGTAGATACATCAAAAGTCAGAACAATCTCGACAAGTTCTGCTGCTATGCTGCAAGACGCACGTGTTTCGAGCCATGAAAGCACTCAAAGGAGCTCTCAATATATCTCCGATCGATTTTAAAACACGACATGCGATCAAAGAGAAGTTTTGGCCGCCAACGACTCTACCGACATATCAGCAAGATTCACTGGACTGGGAGCCTTACTTCAGATACTATGACAGACAATGTCAAGCCGCTTTAGTTGACCGCGGACGGTTCGTGATGGCCAAGACGCACCAAGACATACTCGATTTGATACACGGCTTTGATAATGGCCTTCCTCGAGAGTCGATCAAGGAGAGTTTGAAATTGAAGCTCTCTACCCGTGGTCGCTCCAATGAAGATGAAATTCTGGACGGTGCCATTGATTTAGCAGCTCGGCTGTATCTGATGGTCAACGTTGCTGTGGATACCCGAATGATCTCCGTTCAGACGCGGTTACAATGGGCCACGGGTGATCTCAAGCAGTGTCTTCAGGCCCATTTTGGGGAGCCACATGTCCTCAGCGACAGCGGGCTTAGACTCGAGCCCACCTTCACCGCAGCGAATTTCGAGTACATCGCAGGAATCCGAGTTGTACCGACAGACAATCTGGCGGATCACTTACGATTAATGGATCGAGACGATACTGTTGCTGTGTTTTGCAACGTTTCCTTCCTTCGACGAAATTGCAGGTGTGTACACATGCATGAAAGAGGGTGTAAGACCAGCAACTAACAAATTGACCAGCACCGTATTGCCGGACGGACTCGCAGCGGAAACGCTTCAAACACTCTCATTACTCTTTCCTCTTGGCGATGTGCAGACAAGGAGATGGCTTGAGAAACATGCCACTTCTCAAGGTCTTGATACGGCATTGTCCTTTTGCAATCCCTTGAAATTAACCGATCGGCAATTCGAGGAGTTTGCCTTCTGGCACGACCGGCTCGTGATATTGAAGCAAGCATTCAATCAGTCTCGGCCTCCCACGATTTCCCAGTGGTGGTATGATCGTCGTAATGGAGTCCAGTGGTACACATTCTGGGTCGCAATCGTAGTGTTGATTCTGACAATCTTCTTCGGATTAGTGCAGAGCATCGAAGGAGCTCTACAAGTCTATAAGGCTTTCCATTCTACATGACAATCGCATAACCGCGGCATTTGGCAGACTGGTTGGATGCAGATACCCATATCCTGGGACTATACACTGTGCTGGGGTTGTGGCGGATTGGTACGCAGGGCGGAAGTACTTGGTCTACATAGTGACAGTGATTGGCGGCTGGATTGAAAGTTCACGCGACCTCCTGACTCCTTCCAAGCGTCTTCTTCGTTTGCTTGGCCATGCATGTAAACATAGTGTAGCCCCTTGTATCTTAGTGCCAGCATTTATCGACCTGCGCTAGTATGTCAACTACCTGGAACATACAACACGAACAGGACGTTAAACACCGGCAGGAGCACGGGGCTAATTTTGCTCACATTCTCGATAATTCTGTACATAAAGTACCACTCTGAGCTGGTACCAATTGGGTAGAGAGAGCAGAATATAGTGTATCTATGACCGTGGGCGCCGCATAGAGGTAGAGGTAAATTGTTGCGGTATCAGTCGATCCTTACAAGACCCGATTACCCTTACTTAGACTGTTATGGACTAGCACGTTACACGGCCAGTATATGTCGTCTTCGCTTAGCTAAATTGCAGCTCAGCGCAGTATCCCATCGGCCCAATAGTCCTACGTTATCGTTTACCGTAGCTATCAGTGTACTACATGGGCTACGCCGCCACAGAGTCTATAGAAGTGAGTGAATATATATCCACCTGTTACATAAACAGTGCTGAAACGCGAGTGCCCTTGGCTTCCGCAATAGCTGACAAAAGGGACTACAGAAAGCGCGAGTAGACACAAGGATGTGGCTAAAACAGTCGAAGGAGCAACAACCTTCCTGAACTAAAGCCAAACGCAACTTGACTACTTCCAACGGCAGTACAATCGGGTTGCTGGTAGTTGATAGGAAGCCAAAGCATGTCCTCCGAGTCTACTACCAGCCACCTGCTCTTGACAAAGACGCGGCGTTGTACAGGTCGTCCAGGAGTGATAGTAGACAATGCAGGTGAAGGAAGCTGTATCGACTCTCGGTTAGTTTCTAGATGTGATCCGTCTCTCGAGAACGCCACGCTACTGACTCCACTTGTATGGTCATCGAGCGTGTGCAGTAGCTGCCCGGTCTTTGCATCCCACACTCGCACTGTCTTATCCCCTGAAGCCGATGCCAGTCGATCTCCTGCTGGCGAGAACGCCACGCTACTGACTCGAGCTGTATGGCCCTTGAGGGTGTGCAGTGGCCGCCCGGTCTTCGCGTCCCACACTCGCACTGTCTCATCCCCTGAAGCCGATGCCAGTTGATCTCCCGCCGGCGAGAACACCACGCTGCTGACTCCACTTGTATGGCCCTCGAGCGTGTGCAGTGACCGCCCAGTCTTCGCGTCCCACACCCGCACCGTCTCATCGTGTGAAGCCGATGCCAGTTGATCTCCTGCCGGCGAGAATGCCACGTTGGTGACCCAGTCTGTATGGCCCTTGAGCGTATGCAGTGGTCGCCCGGTCTTTGCATCCCACATCCGCACCGTCTTATCGTGTGAAGCCGATGCCAGTCCATCTCCTACTGCCGAGAACACCACGCTGGTGACACAGTCTGTATGGCCCTCTAGGGTGTGCAATGGCTGTCCAGTCTTCGCGTCCCACACCCGCACCGTCTCATCGTATGAAGCCGATGCCAGTCGATCTCCCGTCCGCGAGAACGCCACGCCGCTAATTCCACTTGTATGGCCGTCGAGCGTATGCAGCGGCCGCCCGGTCTTCGCGTCCCACACCCGCGCTGTCTTATCCCGTGAAGCCGATGCCAGTTGATCTCCCGCCGGCGAGAACGCCACGCTGAAGACGGTATCCGTGTGGCCCTCAAGCGTGTGCAGCGGCCCCCCGGTCTTTGCATCCCACATCCGCACCGTCTCATCGTGTGAAGCCGATACTAGTCGATCTCCTGCTGGCGAGAACATCACGCTGCTGACTATCGCTTTATGACCCTCTAGTGTGTGCAGTGGCTGTCCAGCCTTTGCGTCCCACATCTGCACCGTCTTATCCCTTGAAGCCGATGCCAGTCGATCTCCCGCCGGCGAGAACGCCACGCTGCTGACTCCACTTGTATGGCCCTTGAGGGTGTGCAGTGGCCGCCCGGTCTTCGCATCCCACACTCGCACTGTCTCATCCCACGAAGCCGATGCCAGTCGATCTCCTGCTGGCGAGAACGCCACGCTGGTGACACAGTCTGTATGACCCTTAAGCGTGTGCAGTGGCCGCCCGGTCTTTGCATCCCACACCCGCACCGTCTCATCGTGTGAAGCCGATGCCAGTCGATCTCCTGCTGGCGAGAACGCCACGCTGCTGACTATCTCTGTATGGCCCTCTAGCGGGTGCAGTGGCTGTCCAGTTTTCGCGTCCCACACCCGCACCGTCTTATCCCTTGAAGCCGATGCCAGTCGATCTCCCACCGGCGAGAACGCCACACTAGTGACTGTATCTGTGTGGCCCTCAAGCATGTGCAGTGGCCGCCCGGTCTTCGCATCCCATATCCGCACAGTCTTGTCGACTGAAGCCGATGCCAGTCGATCTCCCGCTGGCGAGAACGCCACGCTGTAGATTCCACCTGTATGGCCCTCGAGCGTCTGCAGTAGTGGCCCCCAGTCTTCGTCGAGGCCCCGCGTTACCTGTACTCCCTTGGGTATATCCTGCGCAAATCGTCGACAGACAATGCTTCGCCAAGGCGCAAACACGAGCGCACCATAGTACACCTGCAGCGGCGCTTCTTGAATCCCCGTTCCACTCCACATCGCAAACCGCAGCGCATCGTGAACAGTCTTCAACACCCTTGTACTATCGGGTCTCTTCTGTCTGCATCAGTAACAATACCATTTTTCTGCTGGAGTTCGACTTACGTCTAGCGCCAGCTGCAGCTTCTGCATCGCAGATATGGCTTCTGGTATCTTCTGCAGCAGGCTCATTGCTTCGAGCCATTGAAGAAGGTGTTTGCGAAAGAAACTATGCACTTTCCCATTGTCTGCTAATATGGTACTGTCATCTCGTGAACCTGCCTGCAGATGTTCGACCCAGTACTCGCATCCATATGCGATCCGCGGAAGACTACTATTACTAATTCGATCAGCCGCTTCCTGTATCCGCGTCCCGGGCTTCTGTAGGCTGCATATGTCCCTCCGCAACGTGTTGTGCATCCCATGTAGCAGATGGTAGGTCATTCGGCTGTGCTGCTCTGCTACTGTGTTGTATAACACCTGTTGGCCCTTGCCTACCATGAAGTAGTCTTTGGCAGACAGATGAATAAAAGAAACGACGCCTTTACGGACAGTAAGGAACGATCCGCAGCGGCTGACAAGATCAATGACTCCCTGTGTGTTGTTGAACTGATCGCCAGGTAGACCGGCAGCTACAGCGAGTTCCTCGAGCTGTAGCGGTCGGCAGGCGAGAGTAATCGACTGAAGAATGTCCAAGCAGTACCTTGCCGTCTTACGATCCTGAGCCAAAATCTGCGTCATCATCCGATCGTACATCGGGTCAAGCCCAGGTGGCAGTGCCTGCAGCACCGCTTGTGTGCGATAAGACGGCACACTCTCTAGCTCTTTGCACACCAGCGACACCCACAGAAACGTGCCCTCTGCTTTCTTGCGGAGCTGCCGCCGCACCTCTGCTCTGGTCTCAGCGTCGTACTTTCTCGCAGCCGCTAAGCGTTGCACCTTGAAGTGCACAAACGCTGCAACTGCGTTAGTAACATAGCTCGCGCTAAGCTCAAGACTAACTCTGACACCATCCAAGCCAGGGTGCAAACGTAACTCGATGTCTGGCACGTTACGGCTCGTCACCAGCCACTTGACCTTTGACTGCCGCGCAAGGCTGTTGTCGGTCATGATACGTAAAAAGTCTGACTGGCCAGATATGCACTCGTCAAGAGCGTCGACGAAAAGATATGTCGTTGACAAAGAGGCGTCGTTAAGTATGTCAGACAGAGTCTCCCTTAACGCAGAGATGGCGTTGAATCCCTCAAACAGCTGCTTCCCTGCAGTCTCGTACCGCTTCTGCACATGGTGTAGAAGCTCCTTTCTCTGCACAACGAGCATGTAGATAAGCCCTCGGAGGACTGACACTGCGTTACTGAGCTCTGGCCGCGTGCTCTGGCAGAAGAAGTAAGCTAGCAGGTCTGCTTTCGCTACCATCTCCGACGACGGGCCATTGTCGTTGCTTTCAGACATCTCGGCGATCAGACCCATCGTCATCATCGTCTTGCCCTTGCCTGGGTCGCCCTTGATCCACAGCAGCCGCGACTCCTCCTGAGTCCTCCACCGCTGGAAGCTGGCGTCGTGCAGTATCCAGGCATAGCAGTCTCTGAGCAGCCTGTCCTTGTCGCCTTCGATTCTCACTCGGTCTTCGCGCGGGTCAGTCACTCTCAGGGCGCGGAGGCACTGGCGAGATGTTGATCCGTCAGCGCTGCTAGGCTTGCCAGGAAGGTATAGATCGCCATCGACGTTGCCGTAGATGTTGATCGAGTCGCCGTATGCCTGGTTGTTTGAGTACAGGACGGTGTGGGCTGCGGTCGACTGCATCGGTGCGACCCGCGCATTACTGCCTTTAGACGTCGGAATAACCTACGGCCGTGTCACGCACCAGTGGGGCAAGCCTGGTCAAGGTTTGCGCACAGACTAGATCCGACTGTGAATCCGTGGGGGCTCTGTGCGGTCTTTGGGGAGCAAGCGTCTTTCTCAACGTCCAAGGAAGGCAGTAGTGCAAATCTGTGTGCCTGTCGTATTACAATAACGCTGGAAGTCCTGGGCCATATATAGATGTCGTAGAGCACATGCGAAGCGCCGGCGCTTACAGCGAAGCGCTCATGCTGCCAAGTCGTCAGCTGAACATTAGAAACCAGGCTGTTGCCTCAGCCACACGCAGACACCAACAACGAACATATTTTCCATACGGCCTTCGACACCTCGACACAGTAAACGCACAACCGGTCAAAAATGTCAGGACTGGTATGCTCATGTAGTGTTGTACGGATGAACTGCAAGGACCTGACGGAACACACTAGGAAGTGATCAGCAGCACGGCTGCTATCTCTCAGCTGCTCGGTCAAGCGATCACCATCGTTCAAAAGATACAGGATGCAAGAGCAAAAGTGCACGGCGCGTCAGCTCGCCTTGTTGGTTACCAAAGCCAGCTGGACAACTTACTCAGTACACTGCAACTTGTGCAAGATGAACTCGAGCTACAGACACCTTCAATTGAGAAGCAGATTCGGGGAATAATCATTCTGGGAAAGAAGCTCCAACGCCAGCTTGATGCCTTTGCTGCCCAGCTGGCAAAAAGTAGAACCAAACAGTACATGCATACATTCATCAGCGGTGATAGAGACGAGAAGGAACTTGAGAACGCCATGACTCGACTAGACCGAGCGAAAGCAGATCTTGCCGCGGTGATCGTCACAACGCACGTCGGACTGAGCGGGTCCATGCGCGCCGGCTTCACAGCCGCTCTAGCAGTAGTCCAACGAGTTGACCGAAACGTGCAAAGAGTTTTAGGCGAGAGTCTTTCCATTGCCACTCAGCTTGAAGGACGACGCTTGGACGAAGAAGGTACTGTACAGTGGTACGATGATACTTGCTTCTGCTGACTGTCAAAGGTAATGGCACAGTACCTCTTACAGCTGACGATGTAAGAGCGCTGAATCTCGTGGACAAAGTGTCGTGGATCGACAACGAGGCGTTCGATGAAGCGGATATGTTCAACACAGATCTCGTCGAGCGGCAGATCCATGCGCCTACGGAAAGGCTATACCAGGGCAACAAGGCGCACGGGAGGAGTACGGTCCTTCAGGGTAATGCGGACGCGAAAGGGATAGCGGCAATTCTGCAAGCGAAGAGGAGATGACAGAGTCAATAGCGATACTGTTTTACTGCGCGCACAGATTGCCGGCACTTGTTGCGACAAGATTTTGTTTGCGGTATCGGGTGGTCCGTACAGTGTCTGACTATACCCCTGACCACAACCCTGGACTAGTGTGTCACAGGTCAGGTATATAGTCGTCTCCTCCTAGCTAGATTACAATCCAGCGCAGTATTCCATTGACCCGATAGTCCTACGTTATCGTTTACCGTAGCTATCAGTATTCTACAGCGGTCCACACCGCTACAGATTTCTTGAAGTGAAGCGGCCCATCATGCCCTCATCCGTGCGCCTGGTTGTCCTGCTACTGCCTCGATGCTTGTTGGGCACGTGCCATACTGAACGTCTGCGCGCATACGGTAATCAAGGAGGTAATGCGTAAACGAGGTACACGGTCGTGAAGGTACGATGATCGTTCGAGGTGGACATTCCGCACCTCCTTCTGGCGTGCTTAGCGGTTTGAGCCATGAGAATGGTGTGTTCCTAGCAGTAAGGTCCCATCAATCGAGTGATGAGCCAAATGCTTGACAAGAATTGCTCTTTTTGCCGATGAAGAACCGAAAGAAGAAGAAGAAGAAGAAGAAGCTACCGTAAGGGCTCACGAAGCTCATAGAACGTGGAGCATCTGCATGCGTGACAACCACCAGACATGCTTGTTCAGCGTGCCAGTGAAACCAGGTGTAGAGCCCGATTAACTCCACTAGGTACCAGCAACTGCCAACGACGCAAGCAGTCCTCCGATCCGCCTGTCAATCGCGTTTACAAGCTACCTCATCGGCATGCAGAACCTCTTGACTTAGACGCATATCAGCAGACCGAAGCACTGGCCTCGTCCCTGACGGTAGATCATGGGAATGCAGATGCTGCGAGTGATACATTTGTATGGCACGACCTGTCGACGACCGGCGACGTGGTGCAGGCTATCGTGTCAAGCAAGTACGACCGAAACGAAGACATTGGCGGTCCGCAGGAGACAGGGCCGCGTCTAGGCAAGCTTGAGTTGCTTGATCTAGACGAGTAAAATGCCACGAGCTGTACGACGAAGACCCGCCCACTTGCGTCCATTACTCAGTCAAGTGGAAGGTAATGCTGAACAACAAGCTCATGTCAAAAGACACTGAGCCTAACCATGTACTCGCGCCTAGGTTCTACTGGTCCCTGTTTTCACAGCCCGAGCTTGAGTAGTTCCTGCAGAGGAAGGTGCCCCTATGTTGCGGTATCAGCTGGTCCGTACGAGACCTGATTACCCTTGCTTAGACTGTTATGGACTAGCACATTCCAGAGCCAGTATATATCGTCTTCTCCTAGCTATATAGCAACTCAGCGCAGTATTCCTCACACATCAGCCCCTAAACCAGACCTTCACCACCACTCAGAAGCCACAGAGCATCTTAAGTATCATTGACGTTACAGTTATCTCTACCATCCTCCTGTTATCATCACCCGCTTTGAACCTTTATCTCCATCTGTTCGCCAGCGGTCCGTTGCAGTGTTTGCCAGCGGTCCGTTGCAGTATTTGCTAAACGGTTCGCTGCACTGATTGTCCAGCTCATTCGGTTAGCTCGGGTTTGCTTCCATACCCGTTTACGGCTATGCCCTCCTACTATATAGCCCCGATCGATCCTCGCCATAGCAATACTGTGACGGTTTATGGAGTAAAGCGGTCATGTCTGCCACTTGTGCTGGTGCAGTGCTCTTGCCTGTTCCAATAGCACTTTCTGTCTGAACGACAGATACGTCATGTAGACAGACCCCGCTGGAGGTCGAGTGAGAGACAGAACACTGAACAACAACACAACAGAATATACTGATTTTACTGCTTCGTGCGGTTACCCCTGACTTACTGCCCTGCGCGGTTATACCTTCACTTATTGCATTTACTGCAACAAATACACACCAATCAATACTCTCAACCCTTCCACACCATCCCTCCTATCAGCATCTAAGCAACCACCTGCAGAGCTCCACCAGCAAATCCAGCTCATTAATTCAAATAAGTTGATACCTGTATATCCTACAGCTGATTAAATCCTACACGTTTCTTTTTGTTGGAGCCAAAATTCTTCTTTGGGGGAGGGGGATCCCCAATCTTTTGCAAAGCACTGATATTGAAAGGAACCGTGACATTGAAGGCCAGGCCGCCCTCATTAGGGAATGGAGGTACTACGCCGATAGCCGCGGCGAGGCCTACGACCAGGCCGAGGAAAGCGGACTGGGTGACAATCTTCACGACTGGAGCGCACTGTTAAGCTGATGCCTACGGCAGGGCGAGCATGATTGCAGAAGATTGAATCGCCAGACTAACGGTTTAAGAAGACAAGACCGTGGCGGGTCGAGGGATATATAGCTGTGTGGGCCAGCGATAGTCAGTGCGTCTGCAAGAGTGAAGGTGAAGGAAGCGATCAGGCGTAACGCGACACTCTTGATTGAGACGAGTGAATGTAACAATGGTTTACTTTATCCGGTGATCTCAACACCTACGATCTCCACTGAGCAGCCCTGCATTCACTCGACATCGAAGTTGAACACAGCACGCACCCGATATCCCTTCCGTCGCACCTCTTCGTTTTCACTAGTGACCCAAGTACCCAACAAGCTCTTCAGTCGTGACTTAAAGGTTTCGTAGTCAAGGTGAAGGCGCTGGTCCGACAACATCAGGCTTTCCACCGCCAACATCATATCTGCCGCCAAATCGACTCGCAGCAGCTCTGCAGTTGTCAGCCAAGACAGCCTGGTCTTTGAGATATCGCCTAGGTACAACGCTGTCAACATCAAGTTGCTCTTAAACTCGGTATTTCGAGCGCTGCTACGGTCACAGATGTGATCTTTGATCTGTGTGAGCCTCGTGTGATACACGGAGTTGCTGATGTTGTCGAGAATTGCAGCTAATTCGTTTGCGAATGCTTTGCAAGCTTGCTCTCTAGTTTCTTGGTCGCCGTAAGCGAGATAGTTGAATGGATACGTGAGTAGCGATAGTTGCCAATGGAATGTCTGAGGCAACACAGCAGGTTTGCGGTGAGGGTTGGCTTCCCAGTCGCGCGTGCGAATGCTGTTGACGTATGAGAGCATAGCTTCAATAGTAGTCTTGCCATACTCGTTCCACCATGAACGGGTTTGATTGTTGGAATTTGTGAGTGTGGAGGCAAAGGCTTGCAATTGACCGTAGACGGAATTGTCAGCCCAGAGCAGCGCAGTGAACATATTAAACCAGCGTTTCTGGAAGGCCCGACGTGTGACGTAGATGCTGCCATCCCCTTGTTCTTGGTCCTCAAAATATTCGATGCTGTTGAACGGCAATCTATACAGCCAGGCTGTCTCGACTCCATTCCCATACAGATCGAGCCAGGTCTGCACTTCAGGTCTGCTCTTCACCGCAGGATCGTCTACAAGGGTGTTGTTCAAAGTGCGGATCGGTTTGGGTGGACTGATTTTGAAGAGCATGTACGCCACATACTCGTCAAGTAGGGCCTGAGGTACACGACGCGCCTTAACGTAAGGGTTTGTTAAGATATGTTCTAAGATCGTAGCGCCTCGCGGTATTGGTGGTAAGTCGACTTCCAGGACTGTATCATTGTCTGATGCGTACTTTTTGAGGAAAAAGGTCGCCCATCTTGCAGTCTGCTGCTTCAGGACCTGGATCAATGGGAAGATGATTCGCTTCGAGTACCGATCCAAGAGGTCACCGCTGCCGTCGCGCCTGACGTACTGATTCAGTATCGCATCCAACATTGGCGACTCTTCCTGCCAGCCGGGTTTAGTCATAAGTTGGATTTTGGGCATCGTCATAGTCTTCTTAGCCTGCGTCCAGTCATCATCAGTCATGGGCTCGCGCTCGTTCAGACTGCCAGCCAGTGGTATGAAGGGGTCCACAGCCGACAAAACACGATTCCACAATTCAGGTCGATCAACTACAAGTTTACTCAGAAGTGTCTTGAGGATGTTTAGACGAACATCAATGTGAGTGATCCTCCTGGAAAGATTCGACAGGATCTCCAGTGCGGCGTCGTCGCCGATGTAGGTCGATCCGTGTAGAAGTTGAGCGAGTGACTTCAGAGTGACCACCTTAATGAAAGGCTGATTCGGTTGCGGAGCATCCTTCGGAGAGGTAGTCGTGGCATCGTCGCCGTTCGTCTTTTTACCATGCTCCGCCTCGATTATGGCTTGCGCGTCGAGCTTTTGCGCATCGAGCTTATTCCCAATGGCCTCGGCATACGTGGAAATGCATCTTCTTGCATCAGAGGCCGGGATGCGTTGCAGAAACCCATTGTTGAAGAGCATACGATGCCAGGAGCTAGCGCTAGGCTGCTCCATGATGACTTGAATGGCTAGTTCAAATGCTAAGACAGGCCTATCGTTCTCACTCAGGGTTCGAAGGAGTGTGAATGCTGCATTCTCTAATATGTGGGGATTTGGCTTCGAACTGAACCTCCCCACGAGAGTTCCTGCGATCTTGTGCACCAACGGCAAAGGGATGTCTCCGCAGTGATGGGAGATAAAAGACGCAACGTCCGGAACACGTAGTCGATCCGATGACAAGAAATCCTCATCAAGATATACGCAAGGGTATAGAACATCGTCTGATGACGGGAAAGGCGTTGTCAACAGTCTCCCAGCCGACCCGTATTTGGCGTCCAGATATAACAGCGCGGCTAAACCTTCGGCTTCAGTCTCAGCAGAAGTCCTAGATCGGTAGCCCCATATCGACCCAACAGAACTAGTTTCCGCGGGCACCTGAGAGTTGGGTAGCTGGTAATGGGACTTCAAGTCAGGCCTCGTATGCTTTGCATGAGCACCGAGCGTGGATATATCGATGTATGTTGCTTTACCGAGTTTGCGTGCTTTGATCTTCACATCAGCAGGTCTGCCCTCCAGTGGATTCCATTCCTGAGTGTCCGATGGATCATCAGATGTTGGTACTATTGGCCATTGGACGCTCTCTTTCTTTGGAAGGAACTCAGACAGGATCAATCGCAAGTCAGAAGGAATGAACTGTTTCCAGAGCCTGACGGCCTCCTCGGGTCCCATGCGGCGCTCACTCAGTGGACCTGTTGCATGGTTCCATACTTGTCTCAGGCGTTTCTCCTTCTCTTTCGAGTCGCACACATCGGGGATGTATGCTCGCAGCGCAAACTGATAACTGTCCACAAAGACACCAATAGCTTGCTGCGTAATTTTGTCCGGGGACACCGGCTTCAGAGCAGCTTCTGGGTCGACAAAGAGTGCAGTTCTCACCCGCGAGGCAATGTATGGCGCAAGCTCATACAAGTCTGCAACGTTGGGAGTCCAGCCTGCGAGAAGTTGTTGTACCGCCAGCCCACGTGGGAAAGGGTCAGGTAGAGAAAGCACATCTGGATACTTTGCAGGTCGCAATTCCTTCCACAGGTCATCTCTGACCTTGGCGAGGTTATCGATAAACTTCCACGTAGACCTTTCCAGCGTTCTGGGCTTGATACCCGGAAATACCAAATTGAAAGTTACGATGGTATTGGCGCCTAGCTTTTCATAGTCTTCGTGATTAGCCAACCTTTCAGCTCGGACGAGCATTGTTATTGTATCTTCCCACAACGCGTAGTACAAGTCCTCGTCCTCGGCTCCGATCTCTTTCTTCATGTTCGCCGAGAGAACCACGCGCTCTTTGACAACACGCATGAAGACGTCAATAGTCTGAAGCCAATCATTGGATCTGAAAGATGGCTCGCGCAATGCTGCGCATGCAATGTCGAGGAGATCCAGCATAATTACATTTGCATGCTCGACTCGCCGACGGAGATCGTGTGGCTTCAGGACATCATATCCATGAATCAGGAACCCGGAAAGCAATCTGTAAGTCTCATCGAAATACGTTGAAAAGAGCTTGGAGGCCGTCAGCTGATCGCGAACGAACCCTCTCGCCCATTGCACGGTCTCGGCTAGCAATGTGAGGGATCCGCTGGCGTTTGCACATGCCCAGACAGACACTGCAAGTTCCGCGCGCGTGTCCCTGTTAGAGGTTGTCCGGATAGTCTTTTTCCGCGCTTCTAGGATCTTGGCGGCGTATGACTCTGCTTCCTCGTACAACCCATTACGATTGAGGAGGACGAGATGGTAAATGTCCGGGTCACCTTCGTACCCATCCGGTGTCCGTGTCGTCACCAGCACAGAGCTATACTGGCCCAGTTCGACAAGACCTATGTCACCTCTAGCACTTCGAAGACGCTTGAACAGCCCCATCGCTTGAGGTGCTTCAATTTTGTCCAGTAGGTTGGGGGTGAGCGTACCTCGAGCCTTTGAAAGACCTTGCTCTGAATCTAGATTCACACCCATGACTTCCTGGCAAGACAAACATAGCAGTGCGTATCGTCGAGACCTTGGAATACCAGCTATGAGGTTCTCAATATCTTCAAAACAGGTCTTGTTACTGAACACAATGTTGAGTAGCTCTTTGAGTTGCGCTTCGAACAGGGTTGATCGTCGAGACCAGCAAGACGCAACCATGTGCAATACATCGCCTTTGGCATTGGTGAGGAGCTTTGCAGCATTGCGGTGTTGTTCGAGAAACTTCAGGGCCAAGCTGGTGATTTCCTGCATCCTCGACCAGCTCACACGCTTACGAACAGCGCGTCTGAGTAGAGGTCGAATGAGATTGTTGAGTACCCAGTCGTCTTCCACGTGCCTAACATCTGTGTCGACAATGCTACGTAGTAGTGGGAGTGCGAACACCATGGACGTCGAAAATCCCGGTTCAGAACTTGTCGTTGAAGGGAACCTGGTCGACAGTCTTCTCAGGCGGTCTTTGCTCTTATCATCTGGCAATTGATCTTCAAACACTGAAAGCATGGCAGCTCTTCCAAGGTTGTCTGAATGATGCTCGAGCAATTTTGTTTCTTTGACATACTGCCACCTTGACTCTTGATCTCTATGCGTGATCCAATCGACAAGCTCTGCAGTGCAGCTTGGAATGAGCGCCTGATAGAACTTGGTCAACGGCCGCAAATCGTTCGTCTTAGCCGCGGTCTCCGGGAAGATGTCTGGGTGTAAACTCTTAAAAAGTTCGGTCACTCGTGTTCGTTTGCTGGCTACATTCCCATCTCTTGCGCAGCGACCGATTGCTCTGCATGCTGCTTTCACTTCCAAGACCGAAAGATCGCTCAAGATGTCCAGCAAGCCCGCTGTGCCACCCAGACCATCCCAGAGCTTCCCCCATTGAGCCGACTCGAGGCCACTCTTGAGCTGCTTGATACCCAGAACTCTGATGTGCACTGATAACTTCTGCGTCAATGATTCCCGAACCACAACTGGCGATCTACATACGCCGAACCAGGCCGCGAAAACGGGTGTCGAAAGCGAGCCGCACTCGATGGCGTTCAGGAGCTGCTGTGTTATCGTATCGTCTGACAATTTGAGTCGTAAAGTATGTAGTTCCGAAGGTATTTCGCCCGGGGTAAGGGTACGCAGGAGACCTGTGTTGATAGAGGATGACATGTTTGACATATCGTGTCCACACGGAAGCGAGCGACGCACCTTCCTTTTGTAATCGACTCAACAGACTCACTCCAAGTACTACGCCACACCGGTGAACGCAAAGGGCGGCGCGATACGATAGTAGTCGCTCAAGTTTTAGTAGTGGGATAACTTCAGGCAAGCATGAAGTCTGTGAGTCATCTAATCACCGTTGCTGGAAGTATTCAGATGCGGTGTCGCTGGAGCGATTATGTTGTCGTCGTTGTCTTTGTCATCTCACTTGCTAATGGCTCACAGCGCTGTTGCCTTAGACAAGAGGTTTGATGTTACCGCCTAGGTATGAGATGGCCGAGTGTTTGGTGTTTCTGGTTACACGTCGCGATCAACGCGCGAGGGCGGACGCTAACCCGCCCTTTTCCGCCCCACATTTGCGAGGCGCCTCGTTTTCTTTCTCGTCATCAACAAGATGCGCCTACAGCATTCTTCCAACTGCGGGATGCTGGCCTCCGGTGACAAGTCATCCTCAACGGATGGCATCAGTCGTTCAGCTTGGAATAGATGTTGAACAGCTGTGCTGCCGAAGCAATCGCTACCGTGTCCGTGCGCGTGATGCGATGTTTGGCTAGGCGCTGGAGAGCTCGGTAGAGTCTTGACATAGATGAGATCCATTTATTCCTTTCTTGTTTAGCGTATAAGCAAGCAAGATACTGAAAACTTGTCGTGTTTATCCATAGCGCCTCATCAATCCAATCACTGTTCTCAAATATCAGCATACTTTGCGCACCCTTACATCCAGCTGCGATTGGGAGCGTATGTTCAGCGAGTTGGGCGATCTACCTGAGCCAACACGTCAAAAATAGGCGTTGAGTTACTGGCAGCTTTGCGAGCTCTGCACAGCTGGATTCGCGCAGGGTTCAAAACACCAGGTGGCAAGCAGGTAGCAATGTTTACAGACGATGAGATAGAGACCGAGTACGCAGTGAAGGACTGGGAAGACCCTACTAACTAACTTGTATGTTGAATGTTCAAACAAGTCAAATCAAGGCACAAGTAACTCTTGAATTAAGCAAACAAGCAGTCGTCCGACGGCTCATCAGGTACGATGTCGTTGTCTTTGACGGCCTGCATCACTGCGCGCCTTATCCGGCTCGTCACTAGCATCGCGCCGTGCCTACTCCGAGGCAGATGCCTCGACAGCTGCTGCCAAAGAGCGCCGCTGCTGCCATCGCTACCGTTGCTGCTATTGTCTGCCTGCGGCCTCTGGTTGTTGCTTGGTCGTGGAGAAAGAACAGCAGCGGAGCCAGTCGTACGAGGGCTGTAGTGGAGCCTCCGGGCGCTCTGCAGAGACACAGCCTGGTTAGCGCGGCGTCGGTCAGAACCGGAGCGGGTAGGGCTGCAGGTGGATAGAGTCAGAGTTGTACCCAACCTGCAGCCCCTGTCTGCCATAGCTTGCGAATGTGGTAGTGATACTGGGGACGGCTGTTGTGCATGCCAGCGATGAGACGGCGCAGTGTTGAGAGTCTCGCGCAAGATCAGACAGCAGCTACTCTTACCGTGTCTGTGCGCGCAACGCGCATGTTCTCGCAACGCGCGCCTTGGCTGCTCAACCTCACTATTTGCAACCACAATAGCTCAACGCCACGATGCCGGTGAAGGATGCCCTTGCAGAGGCAGGTGCAGCAGGTCAGGTTGAAGGACTTTCATATACAAAGTTAGCTAAAAAACATGGTGTAGTGCGCTCAACGTTGACCCGTCAACTGAAGGGCAAAAGCGCGTCAAAAAAAGACCAGGCGCTCAAACAACGACTACTCCACCCACACGACAAGGCAGAGGTTCTACAGTACATCAGAGAGCTCACTGAGAGACACCTAATGCCTACAAGGCAGATGATTATTAATTTTGTGACTCCTCTCTGTGCCTGGGAGCCATCACAGAGCTGGGTTACTCGCTTCTTTCATCGTAACCACAACACCTTACTTACTGCCTGGAGTACTCCTATGGAAACG